CTTGGTTGTCTTCGCGGAGGGAAGAGCATCCGCCTTATCAGAACCCTTGGTACCCCAGGACACGTCGTGCCAGTTGCTGAAGGCATACACGTTGAGGATGTTGATGTAAGAAGACTGCACGGCCATGTACTGAGGGAAGGAGGTGAACATGTGCCACGGGTCCATGTACATGAACGAAGCGACGAAGTACAGACCGAAAGTGGCAGCAAGCGCGATGATAATGATACCGGCACCGGTCGACCCGAAGAACGAACCAAGAAACGCACCAACACCGTGCGTGGTGTCGAAGTCCATCGGAGCGCTGCCGCTGAAAGCGCGGACTACCAGGTAAAGTGCATCGACGACAACGTAGAGTTGAATGATACCGAAAACAACGAAAGATGCGAGGTACGAGAACCGAGAACCCTTGGGGCGGTTACCCAAAGCCAGAATGAACTGGAGGAGCAGGAAACCGAGGTATGCATATTTGACGATGGTGTTGACGATGGGAGTTGCCGTCTTGCCAAAGGGGAAACCAGTGTGACCGTTGCTAGCGCTAGGAGTACCGACCAGGTCCATGATGACCGATGTTGTAAGCCAGTAGGAAGCTGGTTGCTAAAGTCAGTCAAGTCCTCAAGTTTGTGCAATAGCCGAATGGAACCACTAAACGTACCCAGAGAGAACCATGTAAGAATCGTCGAGAAAGTGTTGTACAGCATCTGAATATGAAGGAAGAACATCCGAATGATGTTGTGGCCACTCTTGTACATACGTCCGAAGTGCATGAGCGAATAGATACCGGCTGCGAAGGATCCGTTCAACCAACGACGACGCTGCGAGATGAACTCCGCAGCACCTTCAGGCACGTCAGTTTCACCCTTCGAGGCTTTAACATACGACAGATGCCACTTGGAGCCAGCCTTAGCAACCAGCTCGAAACACAAGATACGGTCCTCGGCCAAGAACATGTTCTTCTTGAAAATGTTCATACCCTCGATACCCTTCTTACCCAGCTGTTTGGAGAGAGTATGATCACCATGGAAATACTGCTCCAATGGACGACCCATGATTGCACGGAATCGGTATGCGGAGAAAGCACCAGGCAACACACTGACATAACCGAAAGAACTCTCCAACGGCTTGTCCAGAATGTTACTGATCTTGTATTCGAAATTCTGGGCTGCCACGAGAGGGTTGACCAGGTTTCTCCAACCCTTACCCAACATGGCGTGAATTTCACCGCAAGCGCCTCCGAGATCCTTATCGTTGTAGAAGGCCTCCCACAGGGCCAGAAGTGACTTGTGTCCAGGCTTGGTACCAGCATCGAGAAGAATGCAGACCTCGGGGTTCAGGATACGGCCGAAAGCATTGAAAAGCCATCTATGAGAGTTGATCTTTTTGCTGTTCTTCTGCTTCAAACAGAACATCATCTGAACTGGGGGTAGCGTGCTGGGGCCGTCATCTGTCGGGCGAATGAGCTGCTGGTTGGGGGTAACGGATAGTTGCGTCGTGTATTCGAACTATCAGGTGTTAGCAATCTCCACATGTATATATTTTCGGGTTGCGCATACGATGTGGGCAACGGTTTCCTTTCCATCAACATCACGCTTCATGACGCCATCCTGGTAAATACCAACGGTGGCCAAGACATCCAGCACATCCTTGTCACAGGGGTCGATACCATCGAAAACCAGGCAGACCACAATCTTTTGCCAGGCCGGCCCACCCTTGTTCCAGAACTCGGACTTCTTCAAGTTCACAATGTCACGGATGTTTTGCATGACACCATGGAGCGTACGGGCTGTGAGAGTCTTGTCTTCGTTGTAATACGTGATAGCAATCAACAACTCGGTGTGTCTGTTGTACATGGCAGGACGAAGGTTGTAGCCATTGTGAAGGGTAAACTCATTAGGATCACATGTGGCCGCGGTGTCTATACCAAGGAGAATTCTCCATTAGTTCCGAGAAGCTGCATGATTGGGCCCTGCGGTAACTTACATCGCATGTGTGTGAATTCTTCGCTTCCGCCCTCCAGGTCGTTCCTATACTTTGCCTGGATTGCATTTTGGATAGCACTAGGCACCGGGTAGTCAACACTCAGGACTGAGCCCTGCACAAGCTTGACCTTTCTGGTAGCGTAGCGGCGCAGACCACCACCGCCGGCACCACTACCTGCACCTCCAGGGGCTTGTCTCTGGCGCCAAGCCTCTGTTGACGAGGTTTCGCTACGAGCATAGGGCGAAGCAACACGGCCGGGGACGCCAAAGGCAGCCGCGGGGTTCTCTCCAGACTGTGCAGAGTAAACAGAGCCACCTGCACTGTAGGGATCATGATAACCCGCATCGGCAGCATATGTCTCGGTCAAGCTGTATCCAGAGGTGGGCCGAGCCGGGGACAGATTGCGCTGCTGGGGGTCATCAAAGGGACCTGTGAACGGGCCCGTTTGGCTCGATAGCAATCCTCTAGACGCTTCTTCTTCATACTAGAGATCATCCAGGATTCCATGTTAGTTGATCGTTTCGTCCAGGCGCGAATGCCACACGGCCACTAGAAATGAAAACTTACGTTGTTTCCAGCCGGTAAATCCTGGAGTCGATGACCACCGTCATCGTAGCCGGGAGGCGAGTGATTACCAGTGCCTTGGTAGGCCATGGTTGATGAACGAGATTAAAATCGTAATATGTGTGAACTGAATTCGGACGCTCAAGCAAAGCCCCGTGGGAACAGAATGCAAGGATGGTGCAAGAAGCAATGAGGCGTGAGGGTATCAGGGAAACAAGGAGCAAGGAGTGCACCGACTGAGGAAGTCAGACAACGGAGCAAGTAAATAAAGCGGGTAACCACCCGGAGTGGAGGGAGCAGACAAACAAGCGCTCAAATGGCCGGGGATGCGCCAGAGGGTAGAAACGAGCGAAGGGGGAACGAACAGTTGAAAGGAAAACTGGTCGAAGGGCGCGAGCAACAGCAGGAACGTGAAAAAGCCGCCAGGGCTGAGCAGAGGTACCTTGCGATCGCAGGTGATGGATAAGGGAAGAAGCTCGGGAAGCCCGTCTGACCGTGGCGGACAAGAAGAGTTGGCGTTTTGGTGAAAGGGTTTCCCAAAACAAAGCTGGGAGGGGCAGGAGGAGGATGAGAAGGGAAAGAAAGAGGAAGAGAGAAGTGAGACTGGGCGGGATGGGGATGGACGAGAAGGTCTCAGGATAGAAAAGGGTAAAAAAGAAAAAATTAGGAAGAGAAGGGAAGAAAAGGGAAAAATGGCCCAGAAAGGCACGACAAGCTGAGAGCGACAGCTTTCCTTTCAAATGGTAATGGTCAAGGGTCGCCCTGGCGGTTTTTTTTTGGGGTTGGCAGTGTTCGAGACGGGGGTGGAAAGTCTTGGGGGTGGGTGTGGGTAATTGGATTCCTAACCAAAAGGCTGCATACACTTGAGATCTCCCTGCGATCACGGCGGATACCGATGATGGCTGCTGGCTTACTAGTCGATCAAATACTAATTATTGTTACTTGTCTGTCTCTCATGTCTTACTTGTTGTCCTTTGATCTACCACCTGAAAAAGTGAAGATGAGAAGAGTATTCCTAACAATTCACAGGTTCTTGTTCTGTCCATTCACAAAATAAAAGAAAAGGAAATTCAGACACGCCTTGTTGGGGGAGGAATGAATTGCTGGGCTGTTTGGCCATTTCCTCTTTGGTATCCCCTCATATTTTCTTCTTTTGACCGCAAGGTTGGGCAGGCTATTGCCCACGGATCGTCTCCTGCATCATATTCTTCCATCTTTCCTTCCAGACTCTTTCTCCTACTTACTTACTGTGGACAGAGCGAGCAGAGCCACTCGTAGTAATTTTCCCTGTCAATACATAACGCCCCTGACTGTTACAAGTTGAGGGCATTGTTCTGCTCCCCTCCTTGGCCCTTTGCTCCGCACTTCCAATGTTATGTATTTAAAATTATCAAGGGTCTGAACCCTGATTACGGGCCAGTGGATATGGACCCTGGTCCACTTGAGTTTCTTTACTTTACCGCATTACCCTGAAAACACAACCTTTCCCGTCCCGTATTGTCATCGTATCCCTGCCAGGTACCATGTAAATACCCTTCCTTAGTCGGTGGCTGTGTGTGGCATGGCGGTCAAGTACCTCGTACAAAGTCTACACCGTGTTCTATCGAGGATTCCGATGGATATCATTCTTGCTACCCATGGCACTTCTTGCATTGCTATCACGTCCTGCTCGTATCATGCAGTGGGTTATCAGACGCGTGCTGCAATAACTTCCAACAATTGGTAATAATGATGTCGAAGCATAACATAAGGTGGCTTGACGATAGGGAGTTGAGATAACTTCCAAGGTCCTGTTGGCCTCGAAAGTATGGACATTCCACATCCCTCGCCAGCATAACTGGACCACCTACAACAAACAACATCAGCCACCAATAGTCAGCAATGGACGGGCCCTAAATCTTCAGCTTGAATTTCCCCTTCCCGGTAAGATCATAGATTCCGCTTACCTACTGTAGAGTGCTGTCATTGATCTTACCTAGTAGATTGCTTGTTGCCAAATACGAAACATCGCCCCCAAAAAGTGCCCCCAAACTGGCCCCCGGGCATACTGTAGTGCTAGCTGCCCGTCTGTCTGCCATAGTAACCAGTAGTCAAAAGTGACCTATCGGAGATCGGAGAACTAATTGCGGCTGGTATTGGAGAGGTTTGGTATCGCCGAATTACAGAACATACGGCGAATGTTTCAGGGGGCGGGGCTCACCCAGAAAGGTCTAAACTCCCTAAAACTCCCCAGCCAAATATAGGCTTGTGGGGAACTCAAGACTCCCTTCACTAGGGGCCTCAAGACCGTGTTTATCAGCCGTTGGTCAATCAGGAGCCACCCAGCGACGCTAGCCTGGAATCCTTAATTTTGCCAAGGTCACACTGGATCATTGAAAGACAGTCAAAGCCCAATAAGCGGTTGGAGGGGTCATGCTCACTGGTCAGCCGCGGTTTCAAAGCGGCTGGCAATTGTTGAGAGTAGTGCTGATATTAGGTAATGGCCAGCATGTCCACACACTCTCACATCCTTTTTCTTTTTTCTCTTGGTTTGGTTTTTTCTTCTTCTTTTGCAAGCCATCATTTGATGCCACTGGTCAGCTCTCTGCCATGGTCAATGATCATCACTGCCACAGAAAGCTATGGCGCTCAGGGGACTAAACCCTCATCGGGGTTAGCTTCAAGCTCTCTATATCCTATCTTTAGCACCCGGTGACAACACAGTCGCCCTTGTCCCGTAAAAAGCGAGTCAGACATTGTGGCACCCTCCAAAGGCGCGACAAAGTCACCCAGAATTTCCCTGCCTCGCAAATCGGCTACCCTGAAGCCCTGGACTGGCAGAATTTGCCTCTTATTTGGCGATATTTTGAGTAGCACACGAACGGCGGCAATACCGGTTCTCTTACATCAGGAAAGTCGCCACGCTGGAAGGTCGTCGGGTAGTTCCGCTTTGTATGAACCTTGGAATGTTTCTTACTTCACGGGTTACAACCGATATTACAAACTGTGGTCACTCCATCCGCCGGGCTGTTGTAACCTAATCAAATGAATACGATAAGATTGCAACGCAGTATTGCCGTGGCTTAAATCAGTAATAAACAAGTAGCAAAATATCTTCATCAAAAACTTCCAGGATCGTTTTCCTATCTATGCTTAGTATATGCGTAGTCTGTGCTCACATAATTAATTCTCCGAACACTGAGTTGTCCCGCAGTCCACATACAGGCAGCGAGGAGAGTTGCTTGATGCAAGATCACATGTACGCGATAGGCTCAGATCTTTACACATGTGAAAGCCAAGCAAATGCATGTACTAAGTAGAATGTGCGTCGTGAAGGGCATCCATTGCGGCAGTATATACATGGTAGTTATCCCACTGCAGCCACTGGGTCCATTTACTAGCGGCGGGATATATATAGAGCAAGACCCTCGGTACCGCTACTATCACTTAGTCCCAAAGGCTAAGCGCAGAAGCATTCACTATTGGCCGCTTTGTCTCGGGAATGAGAGACAGATCGTCAGCGGCTACTGAGAACTAAGTAACGACTTCGGTTGAGAGTAAGACATAAAGCGGTGTATTAAGTTGAATACGGAGATCCTTTCAACTAGATGATAGCACCGTCGACACGGAAACTCAGGGGTGGAACAATTAGCCACAGAAAGGGAAGTACATGAAAAGAAGACCCATACAGGAGAAGTATGCACATACGGGCGCAGTCTCGGGCTGTTCTGATCGTGCATGACTCGTGCGAAAGTTCTATGCATGTACCCTTTTGCATGCTTCGGGCACTGCTGGATATGCGCGTTGCGGTGGATGCGCTGTGGAATATGCTTGTTTGTACGGAGTACTAAAAGGGTTGCTGTTGTTTTTTCAGATCATTGTATTATGGGTCCGCAGCTAACCAATACGTCCTTGAGGATTTTTTGAAACAGCGACACCTTTCTCTATTAGTAGTAATAATAGATGAATTTCATTGAAGTGCTCAGTATTATATATTATAGCTGGTGCAGAAGTTACCATACTATCGTTCATCCATTCATGCAGAAATAAACATTCAATGTTAGCCATTAAATACTAGAGTACGGCTACTATAAGAATCTATAAATTAGCAGTTGCCACAATTTCTTATTTGTATATTTCATCAACCTCAATCGCAGATAAATTGGATAGTAGCTCTTGTTTACTGCATGGCTCAATCCAGTTTGATCAATTTCTTGGCAGTAATGTGAACCTCTCCTACTACACAACCACGAGCACAGGCTAGCCTTTATTTTCGGGTATTTTTTGACGCCGCAGAGACTGGCTTGCCCTCTCCTTCCATAGTCAGAAATGGATATCAAAAAGTTACTGCCGCGAGTATTTCGTCAATGTTAGAGTTGCTATCCCTTGCCAGTACGTTCGAAGCGGAGGCACATAGTACTCCTACTATCTTACCATGATAGAGATGGATCGCCAATTTCGAGCTTTCTGGGTCGGATCCGTACCTATCTACCTCGAAGAGAAGATTCCAGGAGGTGAAAGGCCATGGGCAAGGCCAGATAAGTGAAAGATCCGGTGAAGTGCCTGTTTACGGGAGAAGTTTTAATATCATTCAAGATATAATCAGGTGAAGCCTTACATCTTTTTAGACTATATAATCTCTCTGCAGCGCCATCATCAGCCGCCTTCCAACATCTCAATATATCCCACATCCAGCCTATAAAAGCCAGAGGTCCCAGATCTCACTTCTTTCATCAACATGATACCAACTCATACTTTTAGGTAGTATGAGGAATCGGATAACTTTACCGATATCTTGATCGAGCACTTATTAGCGAGATATCGTAGAACTTCTTTTATATTACACAAAGCTTGACCGTCAGCAAGATACTCGTAAACATACTGTAACAGGAGGTCGCTAGGTCTTCAGACGAGCTGAGCAACCACATATTACTGAAGGAAATTGACAACGAGGTCGAATACCAGTCATCTCGCCTTTCACAAATAGGGTGCTGGGGCCCAGATAATATATTCATCATCAATGTATGGGAAAAAAATACTCTAAAAGACATGGTACAACAACACGAAACGCACCTGCACCTGCCGCACAGCAGTAGCACATAACAACTATGGACGATCCTTAGTACTCACATCAACACAAGGGCATCTGCAATCAAATACTACTCCTCGGCGACACCCTGATCAACTGCAGCGGGCATACCGCACCTTCCTCATTCGTCGATTAGTTGCATTACATCTTCTACGAGACCCTAGATAGTTACAATTGATCATCATCTGCTTTGCCTACGTTTGTTCCTCCTACGTCCGATTAGAGATAGATTCTAGAGACCCGTTCGCTCCAGTACGGAGCATCAACCGAGTCATTGACCTTGCCGGCTGCCCGTCGATCCTGCATGCGGCAAGGATGGAACGAGATTGACGGGGAGGATGATGCTCCATGATACACCCCTCTCGCTGATGTCGCCGAAATGCATGAGAGCCCTGTGCGAGGGAGGCCATCGGGCACGCTCGATCTCACCATCAATTCCTTCTTTTTCTAGTTCTCGTCGTGGTCGCGAACGTTAGTTTTCAGGTCATCCCTGGATTGTGGTTGGATTGAACGCAATAATACTTCAAATGTTACATGAGGGCAGGCTTTCAACAATACCTTGATGATATTTATGTCTGTAGCACTATATACTGAAGGAGGTATACTGTATGCAAGAGCACACATTATCATCGAATAATCTGTTTTAATGACTATAAATCTTCATATATCTATATTTGGCTAGCACCTGTGTCATCTTCAACAAGATAAAACTTAACTACGTAGCCTTCTTCATCAGACGCTTAGTAAGTCTTATTTGAAGAATTCATGCAGATGTCAGACGAAAGGCTTATCCATAAGGGGCCGAAGAACAGACGGATGAGTACTACTGTATTACGCTAATCACTATATATATCCAAATGATAGTTATCTCGCATAAGAGACTGCCATATTTTGATACTCAGTAGTAGGATGTTTTTACATAGACTAAATATACTGGTGGCTTCCGAGCCTACATATAATACTCTCCTGATGTATCTCAGCAACGATCTTTTCACAGATGTTGAGTCCGATGATGGAATCTACGGCATCTGTCTTAGTAAAGCTTCTGGTACGTCTACTGCTAGTAATTACCAAAAAAGGGTTGGATTGACATCCAGGGGAAGATGACGCTTTGTCCATCTCAGGGCCAAATCATGCCATCTGACCAGTCAGAGGCACAAAATTTGCATTCAGGGGAAGGCCCCAAAGATGACCGTGGCCCCCCCTTGAACCAGCCAACAACCGGGGTATGTGAGTAAGAATGTAAATAATGTGCAGAAATCAATTTATTCTTCATATTGGATAGTCCAGTCAATGTCTGGTGGAGGCTATCGAATGGTTGACTGTTGGACGATGGCAAGCTAAGCTAAGCACATGCCAAGAGAAAAAGGGAGAGGGAGAGGAATTGACACAATTGAAATGTCAATCTGTCAAATCAATAATATGCATATGGTTTGACAGCCTATGGAGAAAGCACAGATCTATTGAAGACTCGGCATGAATATTGATTAATTTCATATCCACCAGATAATATGGGACTGGGGGCCATCGGGACCCAACTCCGGATTATACCAGTATGGCAGCAGATGCAGAGTGAGTATTGCTGTGTATACAAAGTATGGTTGACCCTGAGGCTGGAATTTCACGATAGGCCCTTCATGTTATTTCATGTTATTGTCATTAAGCTTCTAGCCCACATCATGTAAATCTCTGCCAAAAGTTGAAGAAAATAACGGTCAGTGGTGGCATGGACTGGTTCTGTCGGGATCGAGACCGGATGACGCGTGGCTTGAGCCATTCAAACCCGCTCATTAGCGTTCTGGTCGTTCTCATTACAGTAGGCTTGTCGAACATGTGTTCATTCAGATTTTAGTGATTAGTCGACTATCTACGTACTCCTGTATGGATAATAATCACACCCAACTGTAATACTACTATGGTTGACTATTGGGGCTGGCTGACAAGTCTCACCATGGGACCTGACATCTGGTGCTATGGCAAAGGCCAAGTCCTTCAACGGTCGGCTGTTTGCGGGAAAGACAGACTAGCCCAAGTGCCGGTGACAAAGGAATAGGCGAGTCCAATGGTGGAAAGAGGAAGAAGAAGAAGCAGAATGGGCATCTAATCTCGATTAATGAGTTAATCAAATGGATCATCTCGTCTGCCGTGCCTGAGGCTGCGGGTGGGTGTGTAGCGGCCTCATGATTCGACCAGACATCCCGTGTTAATTTCCGGGCGAAGGAATCCAACGTGGGCTGGAGGTTCGAGACCATCCAGTTCAGGCACGGCCGGCCGTGCCTGGCACACATCCAGAGAATGGTTGGTTGCACTTGAGACACCCGATGTAAGGAATCATGGGGCATGATGGGAACCCTCCTCCACCGTTCCGTATATGCCAGGGGAGGGTGGTTTATGTGGTAGACTAGGCATCTTTGTTGCAGCAGCGCACAGAGGCATGTAGCCATGTACATCCAGTAGGCGACCGACCTGTTCATCTTCCCCCCTTCTCTCTGCACGGTCGGCTGGATAGGATTTTCCATTGTCCCCTCTTCAAGAATAATTCCCCAATAGTTTGATCAATCTTCCTTCCGGAGGGGGGGATGCTAGTAGGTCAAGTTTCTCGCAGAATTCGCTATAGTCGGTCAATATCCCGGCACTATTCCCGGACTACTAAGTCTCCTATTGACAATGGCTGGTGTGCCGCTTGCTGGTCGGGGTTAATTGCGTTCGTTCCACGCCATGGAGCAGTGATCCGGCCTGTGCGATGGGCTGGAAGAAGACGGGAAGACAAACATGTAGATAGATGGGCTAGACTTTTTGATGTGGTTCTTTCGTTGATGCTGAGTGGTGAGGGGAGATGAAGATGAGGGTCAACCCATCTTTTGGGAGGAACCAACATTGGATAGTCCATAGATAGACTGAAGGAAGATGAATAGAATGGGGATTGACTTGGTTCCCCTCCCCTGCGTGAACTGTGGCAGTAAGTGGCAGGAGTGAGTGGGCATAAGCATCACAGCCCAGCACTAAACCCAACCGAGTCAGGCCTTCGCCCTCTCCGCGTCTCCCGCCCACCACCCCCTTCCACTTCCACACACCCACACCCACCACCACCACCACTTTCAGTCGTTTGTCTGCTTACTTCCTCGTTCCCTTTTCGGTTTGTTCGAATTCCTATTATTATCGGTCATTTCTTTCTTTCGACTTTTCACTCATTTACTTCTGCTTCTGCTTCTTCTTCTACTTCCTCCCTCTCTCTCTTCCCTTTCGATCCTTTTGCTCCTTTCTCTTCCCTTTTCGGCCATCAACTCGTTCTCCCCCTCGTCCTCCTCTCACCAACCCCCGGACATACCGCCTTCCTCTCCTCCTGTCATCTCGATCTCCCCTGAATCCATTTGTCCCTGCGGTGGTTCTGTACCTGGCAGCCACCAACGCGTGTTTCTCCGACGTCAACCCCAGCGACCTATCAAATATCAACTGCCACTGGGGTTGAATTGTCCATCGCACTGACTGATCAAAACGCCCGACTGGGAGAATCATCTACCGCCTCACCTCAACGGAGATCCACCTTAGATCGCATACTATGACCGTTGTTGCCTACCGTCCGCCGACCGACTTCCCTACCACCGACATCCGTTCGCTTGTCTAAAATCACCCATCCTCCTTTTGATGACCTCGTAACCACCCTCACGACTTGACGTCCGTTGAGAACCCACACTCTTTTACCAGCTTTACTACATTCTGCACGTTCGCTTTGCCGTTGATCGGCCTGCCACTCTTTTCTCGCCCATTTGAAGCAGCAGCGTTTTATCACGACCCAACCTTATACCTCCTTGATTTCTTATCCCTTCGCCGCGACCCATTTTTCGAACTCACATCTTACCTTTCATCATGTCTTTCCATATTCCCGATACATCCTCCCCCAATGGTATGTCTTCTACCTGGTCTGGTTCACACTCCGAATACTGACATGATGTGTTGAAGTCTTGTACGCCCGCTCCCTTCTGTCCTTCAGAAGTTGTGTGTCATGTCCCTCGACATCGCCGTCTTGCCCGACCTGCGACGATGGCTATACATGTACGATGACTAGTCAGTCATGTTCTGCGTGTGCCAGCACCCAATGTGTCAAGTCCCCAACGTCTAGCGACAGCTCCAGTAGTTCAAACAACTCGGGTGGAGGAGGCAGCGACGCCGGAGCGATTGCGGGAGGAGTCATTGGTGGTGTTGCATTTATTGCGATTGTGACTTTCCTCGTGTGGTGGTTCTTTATCCGGAAGAAGCGCCAGGAACAGGCAGCCAGTGTGGCAGAAAAGGCCAGCACATTCAATGACGCCCGACAGTCGAGAAAATCGACCCATTCGATCGCATCTACCGTCCTAACTCGCGCCTCCAATGTCATTCAAATCGCGTATATTCCCGGTGTTACCAACCGTTCGCCTCCAGAAACCCCAGGCCACCTCGTGCCGCCTGTTCCTCCGTTGCCCGGTGCCCACCCGGATCAGCACTTCTTCATGCCTGGCGATCTCCGCGACTCCACATGGTCGGAAATGTCGAACGAACGCCGCAGCATCGCTCCAAGTTTGCTGCGCAGCAGTGTGGCCACCACTATCTACCGGAACAATGCCATCGTCAGCCCGATGCCTGCACAACAGGTCATGCGCACACGGGCGGCGGTGGTCAACATCAACGGAGCCGCAGATGCGCCCGCTGTTCCAGCCATCACCCAGGCACAACTCGCCAAGGCAGGTGTCACCACGACTACCAGCAACAGTTCGATTGTCGCACGCACTGTTACCGCCAAACCGGTTATGGTGAGAGGTGCCTCGAAGAAGAAGAACAACAACGCCCCTGCGTCTCCCGCTGTCCAGACCATCGAGGAGCAACCGGAGACAAATAGTGCGGCTGCTTCTAAGTCGCCTAGCACCCAAGAAAAGGAAGAGACGCCTACCTCAGGCTTCGACGAAAACTCCTCGGATGAAGAAGACTCGGCGCCGAAGACTACACCGGCACAGAACACCAACACAACAGAGACAGCTAAGGAGAAGACACAATCACGACCCGCTACCGTGATTGAAGACTCGCCAGCCGTCAGCCAGAGCCCTTTCAAGGATCAACCCGCAGAGACCGATCGCCGAGCGTCTGCCCGAGCGTCATCTTTGCTCGAGACACCCGAAGGTACCCAGTCTAACCGAAGCAGTCGACACCTCCCACCGCGCGTCGAGAGCCCATTCTCTGACGCCAACGAGGTGAAATGATCTGCACGCTCTTTCCTATATGTCTGATTTATCTGCGTTTGAGAACCCTTTCATTTGGATGGCGACAAATGGCGCAAAGTGATTAGCAGTTGGCCCTTTGGGGAGCCCCTACTTTCTTGTATCTATGATTTATGCTTCTTGACCCCTTGGATCCCTATCGGTCTACTAGAATTGCCACGCAGTGGCTTTGAAATCGAACATCTATATATGAAGACTATAACAATTTCACCGGAAGATAAATAAGCCGAAGACAATGGTCGCACGTGGACTGCTGCCCAGCTCTAGCTCCTCACCAAACATCATACTCCCTCCTGAACATGGTATTCTATTACTAGACTTCCACTTCCTAAATTAATAGATAGTTATACTCATCTTAACAACCGCAGGACTCACCCCCAACCCCCACCTCCACCCCTATCCACATCAACATGTCACCCCTCCTCCGCCCCAAAAACCACCATACCCCCGGGCCACCACGGAATATTCACATGCACCCTATCATCCTGGCCAATGGTCAAACAAACCCTCTTGCCCACCAGATCAAACTCCGGATACGCATACGTGAGCCTCGCCTTCTCCGGCACCTCCCAACACCGCGTAATGACCGCCGACCGATACTGCAATTCATTGCCATCCCTCAAGACCATCCCCGTAATAGCCGTAGAATCCCTCGCATAGTCCACACCCCCGGCTGCAAGCGCAACATGCTCTTCGAGTGCGATGACCTTCTCCGCCATGGTGGCACATAATTGGCTACTGAAGACGCCTTCCTGCCGGGAAGAGGAGCGGAGAAGCTCGACGGCTTCGCGCCGGGTGAGAGGGTCACGACATAACGTGGCGGTTGTGTAGAGGGGGGCGATGATGCCGAGGTCGAGGGAGAAGGTGGGATTTAATGTGGTGGTAGTGGGTGATGATGATGATGATGATGATGATGATGATGATGATGATGATGATGATGATGATGATGATGAGGGGCCTGACATCTGCACGACGGATTTCGATAACGAGATGATTTGTTTGAAGATAGGGTTGAATCTATCCCAGATTGTGGAGTCGGAGGAGCCCGAGTTGTATTGTTCGAGCATCATGGTGTATTCGAGACGGTGGATTTGGAGGATTTTGAGCCCGATTTGTTCCTTGGTTGTGAGAGTGGAGCCGCGGGTTTGTTCGAAGTGGTCGAGTGCGGTAGACCATTTGGTTAGGATCGTGGCGTAGTGGTGGATTAGGGGGGCGAGGGATGGGTCTTTAATTGGTGATGGTGATGGCGATGATGATGATGATGGTGTTGAGGGTTGGGTGTCGATAAGGGTGTGGTAGTCGTGTCGGTATGTGCTGCTGTAATGTTCGTAGATGTTGCGGGCTTGGGAGAGGGAGGTGAAGGTTGAGGGGATTTCGACGATGTCGTTGGATGTGCATTTTAATTGGGCTGTGCTGTAGGCTGGGCTGTCTTCGTTGGATCGGGTCTTTTGTGGGATCATTAGTATGTGGGTTATGGTTTAGTATGGGGGAGATGGGGTAGTACCAAGGCATATACTTGGATCTGTAGGCGGATGAGGAGTTTGCGTATTTCATCGATCTCGAGATTCGGTACCGTGGATGGTCTGAGCAGGGGATGGTGGTATGTTCCTGTGCTTGCGTCGTAGGCAACTTCGCCCAGGATCTTCATGCCGCTTCTGATGTGGCTGAGGGCTGCGACGTAGTGGGCGGACATGATCTGAGTGATAGTTAAAATAAATGCGTGTCTACCAGAAGAGTAGTAGAATAACATACCTCGTAGCAGACAAACAGTACGCATGATATAAGACACACGTCCACTGAGAGCGTCGCGCCATGACTACTACTGATCACATACTCGGGCGGCGGACTACCTGAATCCTCGGACGGACGCAAAAGAGCCCGGATGGCCGCAAGGTATTGTTGCAAGGCAAAGGTGTCATGGCTTTTTCGGCTAAACCAAGGCCCTGGGATTTGCTGACCCTTCTCGAAGTTCTCGTGCAGGGCACCCAAGGCGACCAAGGCATGCCACACGGGCTTCTCCTTCTGACTGACTTGCAAGACTGACCGACTCCATAATTCTGAGCCACAGTAACCGGCTAGAGAGAAGACGGTTTTTTCATAGAAGAACTGGAATGATCGGATATCACGCGCCCCTGTGGCATAGCGGAAGCCAGTGAGGGTATGAGAAGGACGTGGAAGGATGGTGGTTGTAAGAGTAAAGGTGAGGTTGGTCGCATAGCCGTCGCATTTGCGGCCTGTGGAAGTGCATCTCCGGCAGCTTGGTCGGGTTTCGTCGCATTTGACGCGCCTTACTGTAGTTGATAAAGAAGATAGTGTGTGGGCGATAACCGTATCTTATTTTCACGGGGGTAGTATCAGACATGACTTACTTCTATGGATGGAATTAGTACTGTATATTTCTTATTGTGAGGGAGACATTGAAGTCACTTACTTGCATGTGGTACACCCTGACTTGGTCCGTGTCCGGTAGACTCTCTGTCGGGGTTTGCCATCGTTTGAGCTCATTGGTAGGTTTGATCAGATTAAGAAGTATGTTCCACTATAGATAGGAGTGCCAAAAGACAAGCCTGCAGAGGGTCAGATGAAAATCACAAGTCGGAATAAAGATGGCGCTATTGCGGAGAAAGGAGAAGCTGAAAAGTAGTTCGGTCAGCCTCGGAATGAACAAGGCAGCTTTGTGTCTACTTCCACCCAAGCCGGACGGGGCTAAGCAGGAGCTAAATAATGTACAATATACAGCTGAACAGAAGAGAAAGAATAATATCCGGATTCCAGAATGCTGCAATGGATGCCAAGATTGCAGATACAAATCTACAAAGTATAATTTATCAATTCGTTATTATTATTAAGGGCTTTCATTGTTAAGGCCAGACTCCAAACCCCACCGCGATGATCTCATCGCTCGTCTTCTCTAATTAAAACTAAGTAGCCAACCACTCCTCTATCTTCAACCTCTCTTCTCCGCACTTCCTTCATATCTGATTGTGACAGTGAACTCACCATGTCTGCTCTACAGAGTCTCCGGTCGACCTATCGTCTTAACTCTGGCCATGAGATCCCCATCCTTGGATATGGGGTGAGCTTATCCTGAACCTTCCCCAGCCGACCAGGTAAAACTAACTAGTGAACCAGGTCTATCTGATGTATGTGCGCTGAGCTAGGCTTCAACTTTCATCCCAGCTAACTTTCCCAGCCCGGCATCCCAGACCGAGAAAGCTGTTCTCGAAGCACTCAGAGTCGGTTACCGTCATGTAGGTTATACCTTTCCCTCCCATCATTCGTCACACTCATCAGATATCAGGTCGACTCTGCCATCATGTACCGCAACGAGAAGGCCTGCGGGCGCGCCATCGCAAACTCCGGTCTTCCCCGGTCGGAGATCTTCTTTACGACCAAGATTCCCCCAGGATCGATGGGATACGATCGCACCAAGCGAGCTATCGACTCAAGTCTGCGTGAAGCACAGCAGGAGTATTTCGATCTGTCAGTTTACACTACGTGCTTACATCCATTAGAAGAAGATGCTGACAGGAGTAGAATCCTGCTACATGCTCCCTACGGCGGAAAAGAAGCCCGTCTCGGCTCGTGGAAGGCCCTTGTGGAGGCACAGAAAGCCGGCAAGACCCGATCCATCGGGGTGTCGAACTATGGAATCCACCACCTCGACGAGCTGGAAGAGTACATCAAGTCCGGTGGAGGGGGACAGATCGATGTCGGCCAGTATGAGCTGCACCCGTGGCTGGACCGATCGGAGATTGCAGAGTGGTTGCAGAAACGCAATATCGTGGTGCAGGCCTACTCCCCCCTGGCGCATGGGACGCGCATGGGCGAACGTGTGCTGAAGGAGCTGGGTAAGAAGTATGGCAAGTCGCCGGCACAGATCATGATCCGCTGGGGGTTACAAAAGGTATGTCCTTTGAAAGCAGTTGGAAGGACTCCATGCTGACGATGTAGGGATTTGTGCCTCTGCCCAAATCGGTGACGCCCAGTCGGATTCAAGAAAATGCGGAGGTGTTTGATTTCGCATTGACAGAGGAGGAGATGAAGTTATTGCACACAGGCGAATATTCGCCCACGGATTGGGATCCCACCGTGGACTACGACTAGATGTAGACCAGTTAGTATGTAATGAAACCGGAGTGTACAGAGTAAACTCAGGGTTATGAATGGATAAAGTCTGTGGATGGATAAGCACAAGACAGGCGGGCCGGTCCCCGCGGGGCTGCTTAGCAATAATTGAACCAATCCATCCATCTTTACCTTTCTCCCCGCCAACTTCAGCGCATTCCATCTCCGAATCCCCCCTCTTTACCTCGTCTACATCATTCCTCTCCTAGAAGAATCCCCTTTAAATACCGTCATCATGAAGCTAATCCTCTCCTCGTCGTACGTATACCCTCGTACCCTCCCAATCCCCCGCTAACAACCACAGAAATATCATGATAAGCGGCGAGACCATCATCCGCCATCCCACCGAAAAGTCCAACGTCGAACTGATCAACTCCCTGCGCACAAACTTCCAAGCCGCCCAACACGCTGCAGACCCCTCTAGCGACCGTCCTCCCTACACCACCTGGACCAAACAAGGCGACAACGCCCTATACATCCCCGCGACTGATTTCGCGCATGGTCTCTCCGAAGAGCGCTCCCAATACGACATCACCGTCAAACTATTCTACCTCCCGGGCATCCCTGCCTCCCGGCGCTGCGCACACACCCGCGAAGCCATCGACCTCGTTCTCAAAGAGCTGCACGTCGACTCTATCGACCTGCTGATCGTCTCTTTCCCGGGCATCCTCTTCGACGCCGACGACGACAGCGACGAAGAAGTCTCCTCCGACAATGGCAGTGAAGAACCCGATGACTTTGACAGCATGATCCAGACATGGCGCACCCTGGAGGGTCTGCAGGAGCAGGGCATGATCTCACAGTTGGGCGTCGCGGAATTCGGAAGTGAACGGCTCGCCCGGTTCCTTCCCCACACGAAGGTCAAGCCGTCTGTCGATCAGATCAACCTGAAGGATTGTTGTGTCGTGCCCAAGTCGCTGATTCTCTATGCTAAGCAAGAGCACATTCAATTGCTGACGCATAACGACTGCATGGATATCTTGCCTGTCGGCACGACTCGGGACCTACTTGGGCCTGGGGAGAAGGGCGCGGGGATTCTGGCTTCGTCGCCGGATGCGCCGGACGGTATCCAGGGCGATGTCGAGCCGCAGTGGGTGGTCAAATATACGGCTGTGGTGAAGGATCGGGGGGTGGTGGAGAATAAGGGATATTTTGCGTTGGCGGATGTTGGCAGCTGCGTGGAGAAATCGTAACCATCCTCCTCCTCCATTTTCTTCGTCTGCTCACTACATGATTACACCCTCGCATGGATAAGCACGGCTGGCGTTATTCGTTCTGTTCATTTCATTCCCGTTCTACTTCTAAATTCTTCTCTTCATATACATAACGACTCAATGACAAGCACATTCACCATCACCATCCCTTTACCCCCTCCCCCAAAAAAAAGAACAAGAATGATAGACCTAACCAATCATACTCCTCTTCCTCCCCCTCATCCTCACATCCTCCAACCTCTTCAACACCGACCCCGACCCGCGATAACTCGCACGATACCCCTCAAGCACCTCCCCAAACAACGGCTCCGTACGGGGATGCGTACTCCCAAACGCACGCTCCAGAACATACAAATCGACCGCGCGATCCTCATCCTGAATACTCTGACTCGCCAGACCAAAATCAATCAACACCACCTCACCCTGCATATCAGGACTCACTCCTTCCCCATCACCCTCAGCTGCGGGCTCCTCAGCACCCCTCAAGATCAAATTACTCGTTGTCAAATCCCCATGCACCACACCAGCCTTATGCAACGCACCCACAGCAGCCCCAACACGTCTCAACAGCCCCTTGACTTTCTTCTCCTCTTCCTCAATCTCATTATCCTGTAGTTTGACTTCCCCATCAACCTGCCTCTTCGCCCCAACACCCACACCAGAAGAGCCACCAGCTGCAGAGCGAGACTTGATATACCTCTCCCACCTCTGAATCACAACCCGAACCACACATCCCTCGATCCACTCCATGAGAATCCACGCCCCATTACCCCTAACGCCCTCACCCACATCCCCCCCAGCACCACTATGGTTATTGTTGGTATTGTTAATATCCCAATCCACCGCCAACACAGCCGGAACATTCACACCCTCGCGCACAAGACGCACCAGACACCTTGCTTCCTGGAGGACGCGGGCACGCGTCAATCGCCGGTCGAGGATCGGGTGGCGGTAGGGCTTTGTTGGGCGGATCTTGAGGGCCGCGGGCGTGGAGGGACTCAGGTAGGTCGTTTTGTATAGGTGGGCTTCGGCGCCTTGGGTTATTAGTTGCATTTGGTGAGAGGGGGTGTGGTGGAAGGGTGGGGGAGGGGTGGGGGTGTGTAGGTTTCTGTTGTCATTGTGGTGGTTATTGTCGTTGGATTGGAGGTCGGTTGGGAGGCGGAGGTGGAGGTGAGGTTGGTGGGGTTGTGTAGAGTATGTCGTCTGGAGAAATGTAGGAGGTGGTGGTGGTGGTGGTGAGAGGAGAGGTGTGAATTGTGTAAGGAGGGGTGTGTGAGAGTGAGGGGAGAAATCGATGTTATCGAAAAGTTCGGGTGGGGCGGTGATTAATGGATGGATGGATGGATGGAATCATGGCTTTATCGGACTTATTAAGCAGGTAGTAGTAGTTTTGACAACTGCTGCAACCACCAGATTAACTACTATTTTATAGTAAGTGCTAGGTAGGATAGTCTTCATGATTTACTATACTATTCTGATAAAAGGCATAGTGATGTGAAATTGCAGTTTTCTGCTATCGCTAAAAGTACACAAGTACACAACATACAACGCCTGGTATGCTTTTAAACCCGTCCCTTTTACAAGTCCTCGTTATCGAGTGTGTTTCTTTTTTTTATGTATATCATGATCGCTTGCGGCGAGCTGCCTTGGCTCTCTCCAATGGCGCCTCGTACACCTCGCTCCATGTATCTTCAAACGTTGTCTTGCGTGCCCCGATCTGCCCCTCGAAGAAGTTCATCTTGCGCACCACCTCCATCGCTCCCGTTCCCAGCGACACCGTCTTGCCCATAATAATACACTCGGACACACCTTCGATGAGATCGCTGCGACCCGCGCCACCAGCGTCGAACAGATGGTCTGCCGTCTTTTCGAACGACGCCAGCTGCAGCACGGAGTCACGCATCTTCGCGAGACCGAATCGCGTGATACCCAGCACTTCACCCTTGTAGGTCATGACATCGGCCAGCAGCTGCATGTGTCGTGGATCAATGTCCATGTCCTTCATGACCTCGCTGATTTCCTGCACGATGGTCGTCCGCGCTGCCTCGATACCGAGAACGTCCCGCATCTCCATCACGTTGTTGGTTGACGTGCGCAGTCCGTCCACACCCATCGTCGTCATACACTCCCGGAGACCGTAGCCTTCTACCAGAAGCGTGTTGGTGGTAGACGTCTCATCGGTTCGGATGATGGCACGGAAGGCCTGGGGGTGACCCAGGACTTGGATGTCGGGAAGCATGCGCTTCAGGTGCTTCAGACGGAGGAAAGGATCGGCACTGGTATGGGCGATCTCCGTCTTGGACAGGTTGGCCTTGGTGGACGGGTCCACGTCCATGTAGACGTGGATGTGGGACCGTGAGCAGCGGAACTTCAGATCGTCCGCCTTGAACCGCTTGTGGTTCTTGATCGCCGACAAGATGTTCTCGATCTTCAGCTCCAGCGCCAAGTCTTGGATGGTCTTCCAGTTGATCTTCACCGTGATATAGGCTTCCTTGCCCGTCCATGTCTCACGGACATAGTGGATAATGTCTCGCAAGTAGGTCTTCTCGATACGTCCCTTGACGATCCGCGCCGCGATGATATTGTCCTTTGTGACGAGCTCGCAAGCAACGACAGGCGTACTGATCTCCTTCGACGCGTTGATAATTTCCTTAATACGGGGTACACCTTGCGTGATACTCATACCGGCGACACCAGCAAAGTGGAAAGTCTTCAGCGTCATCTGCGTACCAGGTTCACCAATGGACTGTGCACCAACTGCACCAACGGCGTGGCCAGCTTCGACCTGGGCCTTCTTGTACTTCATCAAACACGAGGAGATGAAAGTGCGGAGTGTCCGCTCGGTCAGCTTGCCGGTGTGGTTGAGACCCTTCTGACTTCTCTCGTCGTTGGGATCGATGTCACCACCGCGGGAAATCAGCTTGTCTGCCTTCGTAGCGACGTATTGCTGGATTGACTCGAGGAAGTCGCGAGCACTCTCGAATTGATCGATACCATGGTCAGACCGATCCATGTAGCCGAGCTCGTTGCCCATCAGATCCTTCCGCACCAGCTTGGAGCGCTCCTTCGAAAGCATCTCTTCGCAGATCTCCATAATCTCAGCCGGAAGCAAACTCCGCTCGTCGTTCTTGTAAGTCGTGGATTCGGCGTGAATGAAAGTCCGGTCGAAGTGGACAGGCTTGGCCTTACCCTCCATATCCAAGGGATCAAGCTTATCATCACCATACTGGAACTGGACAATGGCCGCCGACGAGTTACGCACGGTATCATCATATCTGGTCGAGAGATCTTCAAGCGACTTCATCAACCGACGAGACATGTAACCCGTCTCGGCAGTCTTGACAGCCGTATCGACCAGACCTTCACGACCGGACATGGCGTGGAAGATGAACTCCGTGGGCTCGAGTCCGGAGAAGAAACTGTTCCGGACGAAACCCTTGGACGGGGGCTGGCGAGCGTTCTTGGGGAAGTGCGGCAGGGTACGGTCCTGGAAGCCGTCCTGCACACGCTGACCACCAATAATCTGCTGTCCGACCAGGGCAACCATCTGGGACACGTTGATACTGGAACCCTTGGATCCAGACGTGGCCATGATTAGGGGCGAGTTGTACTTGCTCAGTTGGGCAATACACTCGTCACCTGCCTGCTGACGGACCTTACTGAGAATACCGGACAATTGGTTCTCCATGGTCTGCAACTCGTCACAACCAGGATACTTCTCCAGCGTGCCTGCCTTGTACTTGGCAATGACTTCGTCACACTGTGCGTAGGCCGTTTCGACGAGGTTATGCTTTGAACGTAAGAGCTTTTCGCTAGGATATACGTCGGTAATACCGATCGAGAATCCCATGTTCGTGAACCAGCGGGCTGAGAGCCTGGACAAGCGGTTCATACCCTCAGCAGCTGCCACCGGTCCGTAATCTCTCAGCATAATATAGAAGACGTTGTCTTTCTTTCCGGAACCAATGGTGGACTTATCCATCACACCACACATCACCTCAGAGTTTCGGATGACGAGCCAGGCATCCTTCGGGTCTAGATCGCGTGGTGTACCATCCTTGGGAGCCTTGAACTCTCTGCAGGCAGCATCCAGGTTGACCAAAACAGGGTCATCCTTGTTCGGCCGCATGAGAATGTTGAAAACCTGCTTTCCGGTCCACAACATCTGAGGCTTAAGCACAGCAGGAGGGGGGAGGTCGAAGCGTGTTTGCGAACCCAGCATGTACAAGCAAATCTGGGTGAACGAGCGGCGGTCGAAGAAGTTGTCCTTGCTACTGAGAATGTATGCGGCACTAATGAAATCCTGAATGGCAGAAATGATCGGCTCTCCGTTCTTGGGCGTGGCCAAGTTGTTCTTGACTCCCATCAGTTCCATCGCTTCGGCTCTCGCCTCCTCCGTCTGAGGCACGTGCAGGTTCATCTCGTCTCCGTCGAAATCCGCGTTGTAAGGGTTACAAACACACTCGTTCAATCGGAAGGTCCGGTGAGGACGGACTTTGGCAAAATGAGACAGAATACTGAGCTTGTGCAAAGAGGGCTGCCGGTTGAAAAGAACAATATCACCGTCCTCAATGTGACGTTCAATAACATCGCCCTCCTGCAGTTGATCGGCAATCATGTTCAGGTTACCATACTTAAGGAAGAGTTTGAATGTCTGGCCTTTCTTCATAATGTAGTTTGCACCCGGCCACTTCTTCGTGCCGTTTCGGACTCTCTGCTGTAGCTTCTCTTTATTGTACCGAGTAACAACTTCGGGATAGGTCATGTTCTTGGCCACCAACTCAGGGACCGCAACCTCGTCGACCCGCAGGTTAGGATCGGGGGAAATGACAGTACGGCCTGAGAAATCCACACGCTTTCCGGACAAGTTACCACGGAATCGACCCTGCTTACCCTTCAAACGCTGCACAAAACCACGAATGGGCTTTCCAAGGTCTGCCTTGTTCAGACCCGGCACATCGCTGTTGATATACACGGCAATCTGTAGCTGCATGTAGTCCCAGCACTCCATGATTGTCTGTACCGGTGCACCCTTCAACAATGCGTTCTTCAGGTTGATATTGCTTTGGACGATGTCACCCAGCTTGGCTGTCAAATCATCCTCGGTGGACGCCGCATCCTGACCGACGGAAGGACGAATACACACCGGAGGAGCGGGAATGAACTGCCAGAGGAACATCTCCGGCCTTGCTTCCTTCGGGTTCAGTCCCAACAGCTCACAATCGGTATCGGAAATCTTCTTGAACAGGTTCAGCACGCGGAGAGCGTTCATATCATCCTGGGCCTTCTTGTAATGTTTCTCAACCTCCGCGTTGGACGTTCTGGCTTCGTCGAATGACCGGTCGAAAACAATCTTGCTAGGCGGCGGAACTTTCTTAACGGAAGTTGAGGCGTTGAATGCACGGAATTTGTCGTGAGTGATTTTGAGGGCGCTCGTTCCAGCTTTCTTCACCACACCGTTAACCGCACCACAGGCCTCGCAGTTGCGTGTCTTGCGACACCGCTCGTTGATCCGCTTCGCAATCTGGCCGCGCCGCAAATTATCCAACCCAGGACGACGCATTTCACGAAGGTAGGCACGGCGATCGGCTTCGGGGAGCAGAATGCGCGAACATTCTTTGCAAACTTCCTGTAGGATGGTGATGACTCGCTTGAAGTATCCGACGTGAAAAGCTGGCAACACGAGCCGGACGTGACCGAAATGTCCATTGCAAACCTGCAGAGCGCCACCACAAGTCTGACATGATGAGGTCTTGTTGGAGATACCCATGCGCGCATCAAGAGGGCCATTGGCTACCACCGCTCGATCATGATCGAGGTCGAAGAACTTGCGATCCGAAACTTCCACCACACCTTGGCTGACAATGTCATCGTTGGACCTAAACAATTGGCGCACAGCATCAGTCTTTGACTGCTCCGCAGCGGAGATCCAAGAGGGGTAGAACTGGGAGAAGCAGGGTCATGCTTACAGAACACCAAACTTCAACTCCTTGATAACTTTGGGAACGCGGTCAATGACCTGGGCCTTGCCCAGGTCGACCTGCACACCTTCTGGAGGCTGCATCGCCGTTGTCAGATGATGATCATGGCAAGGCGACACTGACTCAACGGGTAGAATGCGACGGCGCTGAAATCACCGTACGGCGAGCAAGAAGGTCGCCCAGACGAATGATGATCAGTATTGCACCCAGCGGCACTGCAGCTTGTGGATCTGGAGGAAGGAAAGCCAGCGAGAGAAAGCGACCGCGGGAGGGGGAGAAATTGCAGACGACCGCGGCGGCGGGGTCGGCGACGAACTTTTCTGCGGTTAAATTGTAAGCTCCAGCTTCCGCCGCTCCGCCAATCAGAGTTTCCGGGAAGCCCAGTATTCACACTGCATACTACAATTCTATACAGACATCATTGTCAATGGAAAGAGGCCATTCAGATGCAAGTTCTATTTATCAATATAATAATACAGCAGAAGCAAATATGTTATAGTATACTGTACAGTGGCAGGCATGAAGGTGCCCATTATTTAGCCAAGAAAGCCTGGAATGCCTTCTGTTCGATCACCACATTTCCAACCGCCCGCAGCTTCTTACGTCCCTCCTTCTGCTTCTCCAACAGCTTCCTGCGCCGACTGACATCACTGGCATGCAGCTTCGCGAGGACATCCTTCCGGTACGGCTTGACAGTCTCACGCGCCACAACCTTGCGGCCAACAGCTGCTTGGATGACGATCTCGAAGAGCTGTCGGTCAACGTGCTGCTTGAACTTGGTCACCCATTGTCTGCCCAGTCGCTCCACTTGGCTGTAATGCACGAGCCTTGCGACCGCATCTACTGGCGCCTTGTTCACCAGAAGTTGTAACTTGACGATGTTGCTTGTTTGCCACGCGGATTCCTCGTAGTCAAGGGTGGCGTAGCCCTTAGTAGAGCCCTTGAGCTTTCCGAAGAAGTCGTCGACCAGCTGCGCAAGGGGCAGTTCATACTTGAGAATGACTTGAGTCGAAGTGAAGTACTCAAGGCTCTTCTGCACGCCTCGGTTGGATTCGCAGAGCTCGATGACCTTTCCGAGATACTCATCGGGGAGGGTCAAAGTAGCGACGACATAAGGCTCCTGAATTTCGGATATCTTGCCGCGCAGCTCTTCATCCTCCGGGAATTTGGCGGGATTGGAGATAATCTCTTCCCTGCCGTCTTTCCAGATGAGTTTCACGGGAACGGAAGGAGGAGTAATGATTATACTGGCACCGTGCTCCTGGCGCAGACGGTCCTCAAAGACAGAGCAATGCAGTGTTCCCAAGAAGCCTAACCGGAAACCTGCTCCAAGAGCATGAGACGATTCCTTTTGCACAGTAATACTCCGGTCGTTCAGGCAAAGCTGGTTGATACTATCTTCCAAGTGCTCAAAGTGATCCGCGTCCACGGGATAGGCGGCCACGAAAACCATTGCCTTGGGCTCTTCGAAGCCCGGAAGCGGCTCGACGACCTTTTCAAACCCAACCTTCGTGTAGGTGTCACCGATCTTGGCTTCCTTGCTTCGCTTCATACCCGGGTTGAAGAAGATGTAGCCGACCTGGCCAGCGCGAAGGACCGACTGGGCAGTCTCATTGGGATACATGATTCCGACCTCACCCACGAAGTATTTGATTCCAGTCGCGAACGACACAAGCTGGTCTCCTGCCCGGACTTCACCATCGAAAACGCGGACCAAGCAGATGACACCTCGGTACGAATCATACCAGGAATCAACGAGAAGCATCCGTAGGGGATTGTTGACATCTCCCACCGGTCTTTTTGAGTCAGTTTCAATGCTTGGCTAAAAGGGTTTGTATAAGCTAAACTTACGCCGGAATCTTCTCAACCACAGTAGGGAGTAATTGATGTACATTTAGACCGGTCTTGGCTGATACCAATACTGCACTTTCCGTGTCAAGCTCAAAGGACTGTTCCATTTGGTTAAGAGCACGGTCCGGGTCAGCGGACGGCAGGTCCACCTTGTTGATGACGGGAATCAGCTCCAGGCCCTGAGAGAACGCGAGGTAGAAGTTGGCAACTGTCTGAGCCTGGATACCTTGACTGGCATCGACTAGCAGCAACGCTCCTCCGCAGCTGGCATAACTGCGCGAAACCTCCGCACGGAAGTCCACATGCCCCGGTGTATCCACCAGATGCAACAGATAGTCCTCGCCATTATGGTTGTAAATCATTGTACATGTCTGTGCCTTCACCGTGATACCCCGTTCACGCTCGACGTCAAGCTTGTCCAGGACCTGCTTGTTCATACCAGGCTGGATCGTTCCGGTAAGTTCCAACAGCCGATCGGAGAGGGTACTTTTGCCATGGTCGACGTGGGCGACAATGCAAAAGTTACGGTATCGGTCGATCGGGATAGCTGCGATTCTTGATTCAAGGTCGGAGGCTGGCTGGCTGGCCGGTGCCCTGCCGCGCGATGCCCAGCATGCGGCGGAAGTCGTGAAAAACCGGGCTGGATTAGCAAGGCCGGACGGCGGCTTGAGAAGGCTTGCAGCAGGACATTTCGGTGCTGCGCGCAGCCACCTGGCTAACTGCAGGCATCCTCGCATCTGGAGGTCTGCAATTGCATGGGAATGAATTGCGTGGACGAGATAGTATATGGACTGCAGACACGGTCAGGCACAGGCAAGTCTCCATCCAATTTGCGGGCGGAAAAAGTGCGGCTGCGGAGACCAGGCCGGCGGGCGGTCAGTCAGATTGCCGCGGTGACTGTCTCGATAAACAAAGCTTCCCTCTTTCCCCTCGCATGTAACCCTTTACGCTGAGCAGCTTGTCGTCAACACTTCAATCCCAGAAACTCTCACAGCCATCATGTCCGCTACTAAGGATAAGTCCAAGGTCCACAAGCTGTCCTTGAAAGGTACGGATAAATAGTCTGTGAGATATGAGCAGAAGCTTATACACAAGCAGGATCGGCGAAGCTGGTGGCCGAATTCGTGAGTTTTTCTTTTTTGTCTGAGATTCAATCCAAAAAGAAAAATACTAATGAGCCTAGTTTGAATACTCCATCAACTCGATTCTGTAGGTTTATTGCCACTCTTCGCACGGAAGTGCCCATCTAATGTCTTCCAGCTTCCAGAGAGGAGTCTACCCTCCAGAGGATTTCACGACGTGAGTGCCTTACGCCCTGCCAGTATGGAAGCAGACTAACCAGTTTTACCAAGTGTCAAAAAATATGGTCTCAACATGCTGGGTTTGTCACTACGAACCTGCTACTGGAATTGCCTTGTTGACCAATAGTAGTTACCGCCGACGATCAGGTCAAAGCCTACATCAAGAAGATTATGTCGCAATTGAACAAATGGATGACGGGTGGCAAGATCTCTAAGCTTGTTATTGTCATCACGGACAAAGAAACTGGTGAACACGTGGAAAGATGGCAGTTTGATGTACGCAAGTTGTGTCCTCTTACCGTATACAGGACTAACGAGGTATCAGGTGCAAATATTTGGAAAGCATTCCAAGAGCCAATCATCCCGCACTACTGGCGACAAGGAGAACGCATCCCCTGGGTAAGTTTCTATTACTATGCATTCCACTCCACTCCGCTAATCAGGCCTCGCCTTCTACAGTGATAAGGATCCCCAAGCCGCTGCCACAGTTGAGAAAACCGAGAAGGAAATCCAAGACGAGATCCAGGCTATCTTCCGCCAGATCACCGCATCAGTCACATTCCTGCCCGTCCTGGATGGCGACTGCACATTCAACGTTCTGGTATACGCCGATGCCGACTCCGAGGTCCCCGTAGAATGGGGCGACAGTGACGCCAAAGAAATCAAGAACGCAGAGAAGGTGCAGCTCCGAAGCTTCAGCACCAACAACCACCGCGTAGAGACACTGGTCAGCTATCGTCTTGCCGACTAGTCACTTCTCCGCATCATCAGGTGTTTAAACGGAGGCGTTACGGAAGAGAGGGCGGGATTTGTATTCGGGAGCATTTCGGGCATCTTTTCATCACTGTGTATTCTACATCTATTTTCTCACAACCAGCATGATTGCTATCTACCAATGACTAACGATTTTAACTGCATCATTATACCTGTCCCCACCATGGCAACTCCTCCATCCTAGGAAACCATTCATTCCCCGTCTCGCCTCCATCCCACCTCACCAACTCCTCCACAACAGCCTCTAAGCCCACATTCACAAACACCCCATCCTCCATCCCGGCCCTCCACCCACGCTTAACCCTCTTCCCCGCTAACTCCCTCTGCACCCCATATCTATCTCTCCTCCACAACCCAATCCCACTCTTCTCCTCCCCAGCCACAAGGGAAGCCAACGGCGTCACCTCCTCGGGCGGATTAATCCCAACGACCGTAGAACCAGAGCTGGAGAGGCCCAAGGCCGGAAAATGACACTCTACAAACCGCTTCCGTTTAAACTCATGCGTCACAACAGTCACCCGGCGCGGATAGACACCTGTGCACAGTCTAAACCGGAGCATCGAGAACAAGACATTCTGGTATGAATCTGTAGCGTGGGTCTCAGCGACCACTTGTGCGGGGTTTATCCGTGGAGCGAAGTCGAAGTAGTTGTTGTCTTTGGCGAGGTTCTGGCGTGGTGTATTAGTGACAACCAGTCCTTGTTAATCTACGGGGGAGAAGAGATAGACATGATGGACATGGATTAAACCATCACAGATTGAAGGGAGTGACTTACAAGATACGACACCCCCTCCGCAAGATCCGTGCGTCCTTTCTTCGTAGGTCCCCTATATTTACCCATACATCAGCAAACAAGCCAATTAACTCAATACTACAATGTGTATAACTATACACCCACGTCCTCAACCCTAGTTCAACCAAACATAGCACAAGCAGAGCCATCCAGATAAGTAATAAGCATCATACGTACCCCGAAAACACCAACAAGGCATCAGGATCATCAGCCAAAGCCTGCAATCCTGCTTTGACGTGGTTTGTGAACGTTGGTGTTTCGCCCTTTTGGAAGGGTTCTATGATCCTGTTCCCATGATTAGCATCAACCAATTAATTATACATTGATCTTGTATCATATCAGTAGGGTCTAGTGGTGGGATCATGGGTACGGCGACGTACCATTCATCTTCGGATTGGCCATTTGTAGGCCCGCTGGTGTATATGGCGTGGCAGCAGACGATGATTAGGTGGGTGTAGTGGGGTTGTTGGTTTTGCATTATTGGTTGGGGTTATGTGTTGTGAGTATAATGGTATTGTGTGGGGTGTATTCTTAAGGGAGATGTGTTGTTGTAGTGTTCACAAAGTTGAAGCGTGAAGCGTTGCTGGTGATGGTGATTGTTGATTAATGTGGTCGGAGGTGTTTAACTAACTACTGTACTGACTTACTGACATGTTTATGGGATTACCTAAGCGGGTTATTGATATTGCTATCAATTTGAATGTGTAACAGACACGAGAAATGATATTATTGGATAAATTGATTATCTCTGTTAAGCGCAAAACTACAGGGGGGAAAGAATTGAACAAAGGAAATATGGTCGCTGGTTGTTTCGGTGGCAGATAAACCTTTGCCACGGTTGATCACTATTAATGTACATGCTAGCCTGCTCGTTCTTGAGCAGCCACACACCCGGAACGCCAGACACAGCATCAACACACTCAGAAACGTGTAGCCGATAGAGAGAATAAGACAATATAATCGTAATCCTCACGCAACACCCTAGATACTCCACATATGGTATGCTCCGAAATGAGATGCGTGACGCTATGAGAATTCTGCCAACATAAGAAAAGGTTGAGACACCGTTGATTGACAATGCAACACATGCAAGGCAAATGTACAATGGTAAGGTGATATAATGAGATGCGAGAATGTGAGAAATTACAGGAATGTATAAATGAAGGAGAACCAAGAGGGGTATCAGGAGAAGAGAAAGAGAAGCGTCAGTCCAAGGGATCATGGCGGAACGTGCATTCGTCACCTTTGCGGCACTTGCCTTCTCGCCAATACCGACAAGGAACCAATCCTGCTTTGGGCTAGAGTTATGTTAGTATTGATGTGAAACAATGCAAGGTGAGAGGCACTTACATGCTTCTTGTTCGGCTCATTTGATCTGCTTCGTTTTGAATTGAACCTTTCATCGTCGTTTCCGTCATATCCGCCGGTTTCACGTATACGCTTCCGCTCCGGATCCTCGTAGTGGCCTGGCGGCGGATGCCCATTGGCCGCAGCTGATTGGGTTTGACTAGTTAATTGGGAAATAATGGCGGCCAGATTAGGAGCGATGCTAGGTTGTGATGGCTGGACCTGCGGTACAATGGGTGCAGGTTGCATCTGCTTTTGAGCATTGAAGATCGACAAAAGTCCCTGGAAATCTACACCCTGAGCAGCTTGAGGCTGAGAAGCCGGCGGGAACTGGGGCATTTGCAGCAATGGTGCCTGCGGAGGCGGGGGCGGTTGCTGTTGCTGCTGGCGGAACATGCTGAAGGTCCGCTCAAGATCGGACATGGGTGCTTGGGCGACTTGGGGTTGAGCCAGTGGTGGAGTAGATTGTTGCTGAGGCGCGCTTTGGATGATCTTGAGTAAATTCGAGATATCGAACGGCGCGTTCGGTGCGCTCTGGGGAGCTGGTGCTGGCTGAGGGTTTACCATCGCGAAGTATCGATCTTGTCGGGCCTAGCACGGTTGTCAGAAGGCGTCGAATGCAAGAATGAGAAACGGAACATACCTTGACATGGTCCGGTAGTTCCCCAAAGGAAACAACTTCGGGGGCGGTGTCTTCCGCGTCCGCCGGGGGAGGTTCCTTTGGTGTCGAGGGTACGTCTGCTGGCGAGGTATAGAAAACCATAAGCGTCGTGGCCTCCCGATGCTCCTGAGCACTCTTTTCAGGACTAGTCGGCTCAGCAGTGCCGCCGCGCTTGATGTAGTTTCTCGCGCGATCGTCGGGTGCGATGTCGCCGTTGTCAATTTCTGTGTCGGTTAGTATCCAGGCACAAGACGACAACATCACAGAATTCAACGACTTACCCGAAGGCTCATAGTAGTCGAACAACTGCTCTTCACGGATGCCACCGTCATCTTCCTCCTCAAGCTCGTCGAGGTCTCGGTGAAGTTTAAGCACACTTCCTTCACCTTTGACATCTCCCAGGTGATCGCCAGGGCCGAGTTCTTCTTCAGGGTCATGCGTGAATAGACGAACTTCCGTAAGTGACGCATCAGGCTTCCATGTGACACGCAACTTCCGGCGTGCCTCTTTACGCAACCTCTTCTTCCGTTCTTCTTCGGTCTCGGGGGGTCTATCCTCCGCAGGCTGTACAGGAGCAGGATCCTTTTGCTTGTTCAAATCTGCCATCAAATCCCCGAATGAGAAAGTAGGCCTTGGGGGCGGGGGTTCCTTCTTTTCCGCAGGATTACTGCTCATTATGTTAGCCATCAAACCAGCAGAAAGATAATGAAATAACACGCACATTGCTTTCGCTGCGGCCGCGGCGGCCGCTCGCTCTGCGTTCGATGTTCCAGGTCTTTTAGAGGCCGAGCTCAAACTACCAAACAGGCTGGTAGGTTTCGGTGCAATGATGTTGGCCTTGGGGCGGGCTGCATTGGCTGCAGCTGGTTTGCTATCTTGTCCTACCTCCTGCGGGCGTTTGCTGACACCAGCAACCACA